GATGTTATGTTCCAGGGCTCTATTAAAAAAAAAAAAAAAAAAAGTCTTTTTATAGGATTACACAATTACTGGTGAACCAGTAGTTTCCATTGTGGTCCTTGCAAACAAATGAAACAAATGGTCTAAATTGAACATAACATCATTAAGAACATCATTAAGAACCCCAACCGGCCGAAGGCAAACCAGTTGGCTATTTACAAGCGTGGCCAAGGATCTGAACTCGGGGCTACCGTGAAACAAATCCAGTGGTCAGGGTGGGACTCGAACCCGGGAGCGGCGGTTACGAGTCCGACACTCTAACCCCTCGGCCACACTGCCTCCGTGCAAATGCAAATGAGTGAGCATGCTCGTTAGAGTACCAGAGAGTGTTCCACGTGCTCGGATCAGTAGTCGAGATATCGTGTAATTTAAGTCTTAATTAACGGAATAAATTCATTCAGCAACCCACTCAGAGTCATTAAAAACTCGTTTGCAGTGACACATGAACTTATAGGAAGCGAAGACATGTCATATGGTCTGCCATGGTATTTCATTACAGATACAATATCAACGTTTTGCCCCTTATTCAGTGTAAAGGTCAGCTGAAGCTTACTCGTGAAAGTGAGTTAAGATGGTCCTCTTCCCTTCTCCAGCAAAAATTGCAAAATTAGAGTTATTGGTTTTTCTATACAAAAGTATCTGAAATGTATTTATAACATAACCAAAGTAAAGCGCGCGCTCTAATTGGTCAATTCAGCGTCCACCATTTGCCCATGAGTGTACGCTGCTGGCGTGAGCAAATGCAAAGACTATTTTTCCGCGCGCGCTTGTTTTTTCTGGTCACGTAAGATTTGTTAAATAAAAGAAAAATCTTTTGCTACTATGTAACAGTGTTATGTTATAAAACAAATGGGAAACACCACAGCGTACACTATTGAGTTATGGATGCACTTGGGAGGTCTGCTAAGCCCGAAAGAAGCTAGAGTCGCTCTCGGCTATCGCCTCGCGCGAATCTCACGCTTCTTTCGGGCTTAGCAACCTCCCGCGTGCATCCATAACTCATGTTGTACGCTGTTGTCTTTACCATTTGTTAATGCGTCTAAATAAAAAAATTAAGTCAGTTTTCAGTTAATTGCCAGAATCGCCTTAAACTTGTGAGAAGTGTGTTTTTTTTTTCGCGATTTTTTTCGATAAAACCCACACGTTGCTCACTTCAGCCGTTTAAACAACTAAACCCAGGATACGATACACTTTCAGCCCTTTAAACAACTAAACCCAGGGAGCTCTTTCTTTAAATATTCAAAACACTGGGATTTCATGAACAGCCCGAGTTTATTCAAAAGCGCCGAAAACTTCATTAGAATAGGATGCGGTTTTCCAGGACACACGTTGCTCATTTCAGTAGCTTCTAATCCTTTGATTCACTAGGGTCAGGAAGCCGTCTTTCTTTTCATATTGCAGGACTTAATATTTTATAGACAGCGGGAGTTTATTCAAAAGCGGCAACTTCAGTAAAAATGAGATGTAGTTGAATTAAAGCTTGCCATATTTAAAGTTTGCTAGAGTCGCTTGGTCTTTTTCACATCCTGGCTGGATCCGCACGTAACATTACATGGGGTTATATTTGCTCTTCTCGTCGTTGGAGCGAGCTTTACGTAGTATGGGAAAACCGCTGACTCAGACAGTCAACTTATCACTCTGAAAACATGTCAAACCTAAGAACGATTAAAGCCTAAGCTAGTATTTTGCTGAAATACGAACTGAACCTCGACTTTTTTATTCTTCCTTCATTAAAGCGTCCATCTCACGCCATCCATCAGCTTGCAGGTTTTTAATGAGAGGGTTTTTTCTGTTAAACAAGCGATCAACCGTTTAGGTAGAGTCCTTTATAAATGATATCTGTTTTAACAATTTCATATCAGTTCATGATGTGCGCGAAGCGGACATCATGAGGAATTCAGAGTCTAGCCAGTCGTATGCTACATCATTAGCGGAAACAAAAGAGTTCTGGGAAGTAATCAAATCGATCTCCTTTCTCTATGTGGCTTAATTGTCATTACACGAGTTGAATGTTTCGCCGCGTCTTTTCAACTTATCGTATCCTAGACCACAAAACAAGGGAGTAACGTTGTTGATGACAAAGAAGGCGCATAAGTACGTCGAAAGTGTCGTTACGTGATTTCACCATAATCTAGCGCTTACCACTTAGTATTTGTAGACTAATCAGGCTCTTACACGATGAATCTAGTTTGTCGCCAAAAAGTCAAGAGGAGTTTTGGAAACTTCAACGCCAAGACTTGATGAAGACAAGCGAATCTTTAAGAGAACTTGAGCGACGTTTTATCTGAGATAGCCGCGGTTCTCCATTAAGGTCAATGTTTTGGGATTTATGCTAAAACAAATGAGTTCAAGCTGAAAGATAAATCAAAGGAGAATGGAATTCTTCTCATAAAAGATCAGGACAGAGCTTTTAGTTTTAATGACGAGAACAAAAAATTGAAAATTGAGTATTTTATCTTGAAAATCAAAACCGTACACATCAAAGAAATCTCTGAATAATCAAATACTGGCCGTTTAGCATGGAGAAAGCCTTTCCCAGACAGCTTTGAACTAATATCCAAAAGGATCTTTAAATAAATCTAAAGAACTTAGTGACAGAAAATGCTTTTTTTTTTTTTTAGAACAGAATTCCGTAAAGCTTTAAACTGACTCAAAAGTCGGGTGCTTTGGTAGATGAAACCAGCTTTGATTTCAATAAAATCAATTCAGAATTTTACCATTTACCATGGTGTAAATGGTTTTAAATGGATTTCATTAATGTAATTTTCCTCTTCTTATATGGTACCTAATGGATTTGGGTGGTTTTGTGATCTGTGTCACACCAAATACACAGAAGTCTTTTATTATCCCAAATAAGAACTCAAATCACGGAAATAATATCGACAAGTCTATTTCAGTTTGCTAACTTTCGTTTAATGAACTTGGGATGATATTGATGCTTAAAACGGAGTAGCAATTCACAGTTTTATCAGATTTGATCATAGCAGGCAAGTAAATCTTTCTCGGCAAGTGTAAATTTGAACACAGCCAAGCAGGCCTAGCCTAATGTCAAGCACGTAGGTCGAATTAAGAACTCTGAATAAACAATAAAACTGACCACGTTATCGGCTGTACTGTCATTGGAAAAGCTTTTATTTAAAAAGCCGAAATCAATTAACTGGTTTTACATAGATCAAAAAGTGATCCAAGCATCGATAAACAACTAAAAAAAATTTGTTCGAGAGGAGAGTAACAATAACAAAGCCTTTTTAAAACCGGACAATGCGGTGAGACTTCTGCGGCAAGCGAAAACTCTATCAGGACTGAAGTAAACTTTGATTCTTACCTAGCTAAGCTACAATTATCAAGGTAAGAAATAGGAATGGCGTTATCTTTTTCGATTGCATTTAAACTGCAAGTGGTACCTAAGTTACAATAATGATATTGTATCCTTTTTGTTTACAAGGAATCCTAGAATCACAAACAGCATACATGTTTAACACTTTTTAAAATGGTGTCGATGGGCAAAGGCTTCATTAACACAAAAAATTGGTCTGGAGATTTCTTTTTGTGATTTTTAGAGGATTTGAATTTGTTCTTTTTTCTTTTTTATAAGCACTTAATACTGAACAGATACCTTTTTTGAGGGGACGATTGCGAAGAACGTGAGTGGAAACTGTTTGGCTTAATCTCGAGGAAGAGCAACATCAGGGTCCTATGTACGTCTTTAGACTGCCTTACTAAAGCAAACATTAGCCTAATCTCTCCCAAATGGCTTGAAATTTCTCTTTTTTAAGATATTAAAATGCTACCCCGGTATTTTTATTAATATCTTGGTTTTAGGAAGGGTTAAGAAATAGTACCAACCATGATAATACTTTAAGATTAGCGAATGATCAAAGATTGAAGCCCGGTCAGAGATTTATCTTAGACTATACGTGCGTGAAACGGCAGTAATACTTGCGCCATAATATTTATTCAAAAATCTTTCCCAACGAAACTCAGTTTTCAGACAGCAAACAATTGTCTACACTTTGAAAAGACTCCAGATGTCATTTCAACTGTCGAAAGCATTCTCATGTTAAACCTTTGAGGCGCAATGTTCAGTTTTAAAGTCTCCACGACGACATGCACGAGTGTAAGCAAATATGAGAACTGATTACGACTCATATAATACCTAAACCCTGTAGCATGATATTTATCTTAGCTGTCTCAAGGGAGAGTTCAGGAAGATCAAATTGAAAGCAACCAAATAAATTTAAAAAGAACTGTTCTCTGGCTCTAGAAAAGACTTCCTGCCGTCACTTCGATTCTTATCTGTCTATCAACGATTACGTATGTTTCTTTACAATCTGATCTGAGAGGAACCATGGAAATATTCCATTCAACCTAAATCAGTGTATTAAGGTCGTTAAAAAAACCCTGATATCTGACGACGTGGTCATTTGAAGGGCTCAGTGCATTTATTATACATAGCACCTTTAAACAATAATTTTTACAGGGAAAAAGAAAGTAAGAAAATATCATATCTGTGTTGTAAAAAAAGATCTCGGTGAAAAGAAAAAGTAGCTTATAATTAGAAATTACAAAAGATTGAAAACATATTGCGTGTTTTAGCGAAATAGCTATATTTCAAAGAGAGAGAGAGAGAGAGAGAGAGAGCGAGCACTCCGGAATTGTTGCCATGGTAACTGGTAAAATTACTTAGGCATTATCAACTCAGGAAGTGAGATTGTTTTGATGCTATTTGGTAGAACTTACTTTCGTGATATTTACTTTTGCTTCATCCTACCCTGGCCTGTCCTTTATTGACAAGAACATTATAATTATATCTTTCCATAGTCAGGATGGCGGCTGAGTCCCCATTTTAATCCGTAATTGCTTAGATTAGACAACTACCTCTACATCTCTCACCAAACTGGCCAATTAAAAATTGGTCAAGAACTCTTTGTGGAGGAGTAAGGGTTACTGAGTGACCGGAAATGTCCTTCATGGTTATTTCAAAGAAAAAGTGTACGGATCCTTAAGGATTTGCAAAGTAAACTAAAAATAATAATATCCAGATCACTCTTTTGAGATTTGACATCTATAATGATTAGTTTTATAGAGGAGACTTCCAAATGACAAGGCAGACTGGCCCAGTCAAAATAGTTCCCTTTGTCTCTGTCGTGTAATTTGAGGCCCAGTTCAAATTGGTATAAATCACTATTTATCAAGCTGACTTTTCTTCAAATGCAACCGGATTCTCTAGGCACGTTCTACTAAAAAATTTTTCACAGACTGGTAAGAATAAAAATTTTGCAGTGTCAATGCATTTTTTTTCAAATTTTGAAAATAAAACCTCCATTCAAATATTGAAATTCGAACAACGTTAAAAAATACTGGACACATGGAATATTATGGTTTGAAACAATGGTATCGAAAAACGTCACTTTTTCGAACGTTTAAAATACCTGGTTTCGGATAAGAGCCAAAAACAAGCGAAGAAAAATCGAGTTTGCGTTTACATGCAAATCATATGAATAGCAGCTAAGGCGTCTAGTAAATTAATTATTTAAACCATCTGAGATGGAAAGAGAAAAAAAACTTTTCTTTTCACGATACGTGGCCATGAATATTTATTTAAGCCTTTCAGTGTACCAGTTGTCGATGTTTTGTTCTTGTCTTTGGTAAGACTTCGGAACAGACTGATTTTCATGGTTAAGAGAGGGAATGATTGAGTTGAGGGCGACTAAGCACTTTTGTTTTTAATGTCTCTATTTAATCAAATATTCTGTGCGAGCTGTAGTTGCCATTTCCTATTTTGTAAACATGGGTCAGTTTCATTCAGTTTATCTCAATCCCCTGTTGACAAATATATGACACTGGAAATAAATCCAATGTAAACTAGACACCATTTGATAAAGGTAAAAACATTTTGGGTTGAGTAGGTAACCGTGCGCTGACATTGATAACAAAAAAAAAAAGGAAAACATGTAAAACCAATAAGATGAAAATATCAATAACAACTATTTGTCTATATTATGTTATGCACACACAGATCCATTTACGATGAATATGAAATTTTAGTTAGTCTTATTTCCGTCCATATCTACAAACTTTCGAAGTGATAATGCAAACAAGAAAACGAAAGTATTTGACATAAACGTGTTTATTTTACGACATAAATAATTATATATACAGAGCATCTCCAGCTTAAGAGGTTCTATGCTAAAGAGTAACAAGAAGGGATACTGAAATCGTAAGATAAAGGTGGCTACCCGGGAGAAAAATAATCTGAAGTTTTATTTGATAAAGAATCACAAGAGGGCAAGTATCATAAGTATTTTATAAAACACTAAGTACATCAACTCGGAAGTGGAAACTGGTTAGGAAATCTAGAGGTTCTCTTCCTCATTCGCTTGTGGCAAAGGCTTCGGATCCATATCGCTTCACAAAAGAGAACAGTTAAGTAGTTTTTTGGATGTTCAGTAAGGTATTTTATTCTACCAGAAATAGTTCAAAGAAAACCTTTTATCAGCTCAGTTCGATTATGGTTTTTTTCCAAAAGTTATCTTCAGCAAATTTCAGAAAAAAATAAACGCACGGAGCTTCCTCCTCCTGATGATCTATTTACGTTTAAAACGCCAAATCTCTGATCACTATGCAAAGGTTCGGAGCATATACTCTGAAGATCTCGGAAAGAAATCGAAGTAGGTAGAAACACTTTTTTAAGGATTCCTAATAAAAGGAAATTCTCAATTTGGGTGTCAAACTATATTCTTAATATATTTGCTTCTTAATTCCACCAACAAAATATGTTGTTAACTTTTTATTCACGTTATCAGTAAAAGAGAGTACAGTATAATTAAGTTGATTGAAAAGGGAAAAAGCTGTCGAACAAGCTCAAAAGACAACAGACGAATTAAAGCCTTCCGAGCTGACCTTTGACAACCATTAACATTTCTTTTACGCTTTTTCATTAACCTTAGGGAAACGATATGAAAAAGTATGATGCAAGGTGTCTTTCAAATTTTGACGATCTAATCTTCTAATAACGGCTTATACATACTAAAAGACTAGCTTTAATCTACGTCCATCTCTCTTTCTCACAGGGACATTCATGGCAATTTTCGCAGCTCTTATTAACGTGATATAGAAATAAAGTATGATTCGGTCACAGATTTAAATATAAATCAAGGTCATCTTTTGTGTTCTTTCATGTGAAATGTGAAAAGCTTCATCCAATAAATTAGTATAATATTTCAACCATACTTGAAAATTAGCATAACAACACAGCTGTTATTTTTCGGTTTAAAAAAGGATCTTTGTTTTCATTTTTGTTAAGGAAATTACATCCAGCAGCTCTCCAAAGTAGAACAAAAATTAATCAATCTCGCTGGGTGCATAAAAATATATGATCCTTCACATCGTGAAAATGCTTAAAGGTGAGTAGGGTGAACTTAGCGAGAGACTTCAGTTACTGATACAAGGAGTGTTTTGTAGAAAATCCGCCCATCGCAATTTCTGACAAACTGACAATTGGACTTTTTTAACTTAAAGGAAAACGAGAGAAATTGGCTTTTGAACTGATTATTTTACTTCATTTCCTCTGTTTTCTTAGAATAAGGAAAATTAACTATTTCTGTTTCCAATCCACTTAGACATAGCAGCATATTTGTCATAGAGACTTAACACAACATTAACACTTTTCCGGAAGCTTGCACAACCATCTAAAACAATGGAACTGTAAACTGAACAAAGTTATTTTCCGAAAGGAAACCCTTACAATCAGCCACAAATTCTGTTTACTAAACTCGAACTAAACGGAAAAAGAAATTCCGATAACTTGAACGGTTACACAAATGTGAAATTTCCAGTGGTGTTACTACCATTTTTTCTTAGAATGGGGCTTCATGCGCGCATGAAGCATATATGAATATCTGGTGGTATCATCAGGTGAGGTTCAACTTGAGTCAGGTGCAATTACTCATGGTAAAATTAATATTTGATCTTTTTAAGCCCTGTTTGGGCAAACTCGAGGGCTCAGTTTTAAACATTTCTGGCTATAAATTCTGGGGAAAGCAATTTACATTGAAAATTGAAAAAATACTACTCTTTACGATTATTGGCCATTTTTCTTTCCCGCGTAGTCATGAGGGAATTTTAACTTCGCAAAAAAAAAAAAAGATTGATCCAAAAAATGCAAATCAGTAGAGAGTTTGATTACGGATTGAAAATCGTTTTGATCCATCTGTTTGCACTTTGATCTCCTAAGATTTGCATCTTGTTGTATTGCTTATAAGAGTTTCTTTAAAAATTTCCACAAACAAAATACATCATGAATAATTTATATGTCAAACTTTTAAGTCGAAATTTAACTAAAAGAACTATTATCACTAATGGAGGCAGATGTGAACATAATTTTTTAGAAATGAAAAAGAAAAGAAAAAATAAAAGAAAAAAAATAGGGTGAATCTTTTAAAATGATTGCTATTTTCAACACGTTACCAGATGAGGAATATCTATGAAATTTAAATGGTATTTGGATAAAACATCTTTTCTTTGGATGTGGCATCGTCGCACCCATATTTGTTACTTTGTACCCATCACATTACAATTGTACATCAATATAAGGAGCATAAATGGAACCAAATTGCAAAAACTGACGCCCCATTTTTTCTAATAGCAGTTTAAGTAGATCTTCAACACTTCGCAGTGATGGATGGCCATAGTTCATGTAGAAACATTGCGAAATGTAAAAAAAAAAGGAGCTATCAATAATGAACTTATAAATCATTTAGTTCTCATGGCCACGTCAAGAAATTGTAAATTGTAAAAGTTTATGTCAACGATTACGAGTGATGCAAAAAAAAAAAAACAAACAAATACTGAAAGCGGAAAGAAAGACAAATTCAATTATAATTTAACGTTTTGTATCAAAATGTTTAATTTTTTAACTTCAAAAGTTTTTCCTATAGGAAAATGAATAACTCAAGTATATTGGTGCAAAGTCCTCCTGGCGATGAACCAACGAGTGCTCCCTCTTTAAACATGTCAATCCAGATCATCCAAGCAGTCTTGTCATCCTTGGTTATGGTTGGTTCGTTATTTGGCAACACCTTGGTGATCTGCGTTGTCACGCAAAGCCTCCGCATGCGCACTGTGACCAATTTTCTGATTGTGAACATGGCATGCGCCGACATTCTTTACACACTGGTTTCTTTTCCTCCATTGTTCGTCATGATTTTCGATGGATACGAATGGGCAATGAGTAGCCGCGGGCTCGGCATCTTCTTCTGCCAGGTGGTGAATTTTGGTCAGTATATGTTGGTTCCCGTTTCTGTCCTCACTCTAGCCGCCATCGCTTTTGATCGATTCTTTGCCATTTTGATTCCACTGAAGCGTATCATCAGCAAACGTGTCTTCCGCTACCTCGTTATTGCCATCTGGGTGACTTCCGCAGCCGTAGCCGCGCCTTTATTGTACGCATTACAAGTTACTAGAGACAGTAAGGGGGGCTTGTCATGCGCTGAAAAATGGGCTCCAGTCTTTGATGAAACTACGGCACGCAGGGATTACACACTGGTTTTATTCTCCGTAATTTTTTGCCTCCCAATTTCCGTAATGATTGCCTTGTACTCGATAATTTGTCGCCATTTGTGGTCCATAAAGCCCCCTGGGGAAACGGAGCAAGAGGAATCCAAGAACTTGATTAAACGACGTAATTCTCGGAGAAATGTCGTGAAAATGCTTATTACTGTTGTTGCGGTTTTTATCATATCTTGGTTACCATGGCAAATTGTCAGTCTAATTTTCTACTTTCAAGAAGTTAGTATTTCAGAGTCACTTTACTTCTCTTGTGAGATATTCATGCGCGCCAGCTGCGCTTTCAATCCATTGGTTTACGCAGTTTTTAGCGAGAATTACCGTCAGGGATTTAAGAAGGTGCTTGCCCGATGCTGTTGTTCGAAGATTAAGGCTTTCGTTCCGCAAAGAGCTTTCAGTACTTCGTCTTCGCGCCAGCAAACGGCGCCTTTCTTACTAAAGAGTGATTACGCCTTATCGAGGCGAGAAGGCAGCAAAAAAGCTTGTCGGGAAGTGAAAGATAATCATCATGAGGAACATCAAATTTGAAGCGAACGAGAGTTACAATTTGTACAGTGGTTTCGAATTGTCAGTAGACAAAGTATTGAAACCTCCTTAAGGTTACCGAGCCCTTAAGGGGTGTCTCGCGTGCAAGCGATGTCGCGCTTCCGGTTTAAACTGTAGATATCTAAACCCCTATATCAAATTAAAGCTTATAGGACTGGCTATCAGAATATACCAAAACTTTTGAAAAAAAAAAAATTGTCGAATTTTTCACGACTTCTAACTGCGAGCGCCCGAATCACCTTTTGAACGTTACATGTCAAAGCGAATTTTGTTTTTCGCTTATTTAAAGTGTTTCTCCGTTTCCGGGGCCAAAGCGCTAATAAAAACGTGTCTGCGATTTGCCATATACAATTTCAGGGAAAAGTTACAGACCATTTTTGAAATAGATTAAAAAAATGCGGAGGGATCGTACAAAAATCGCTCTTGCAAAAAAAGTATTTAGAAATAAAAAATTCGGAGACATCTTTTTGTTGTTTGTATGTAAAACTAGCTACTGTCAAAATTTGAGAGCAATCGAACAAATTCCCTTTAACTTGTAGCTCTTAAAAGGTTATTCGGACGCTCGCATTTAGAAGTAGTGAAAAATTCGATAATTAATTTTTTTTATAAGCCAGGGTTTCTTAAAACTTTTGACGATAAAAATCAACGGTAAAACACGACGTTTCGACCGTGCTTCGGTCATTGTCAAGTGAATGGAATGAAATACAGTAAATATATGTATATATACACTTAAGAAATATAAAAAATTTTTGCAGGTGTAAACAAACGATAAAACTACAAAGAAAGTGCTAGTAAAAAGCTAATTAAAAACCTTAGCCCGAATTGAATCAGACTGTACATTGAGAGCAGGTCTTAGCTTATGAATAAAAGATATCTCATAGACGAGACAGTCAAATTTGTTCGTGCACTTCATTAAGGTGCTAAAGTTCTTTGTAAGATCCTTTTTTTTCAAAATTTTGGTATAGTCTGATAGCCAGTCCTATAAGTTTTAATTTGATATAGGGGTTTAGATATCTACAGTTTAAACCGGTCGCGCTACATCGCTTGCACGCGAGACACCCCTGAAGGTGCACGGTAACCTTAATCAATTTGAAGTCTGATGACACCGCTGCCAGTTTAAAGTGGTTTGTGATTGAGATTCTATCGCATCTAACAAACTGTTGACGAACTGAAGGGAAAAAATTCCTATTTAGGTAACTTAGTAAATTAAGTGTAGTGGTTTAATTTACGAGTAAATTTCACAACCGTTGCATGTCCCTACAGAGGCATACAGCATAATCCAACAAGTACTTTAGCTCGTACGCGATTGATCAAAACGGATCACATGACCGAATATCCCCTGACTACAACTGGGCGATATCCGTGGATATGCCCCAAGTGATATTCCCAATTTTCAAAGCTTACGTCTAAAACGGACAACTCTGCTTAAAATTTAATTCAAGATGAGAAAGCGTTAAGTGGAAGAAGGAACATGTTTTGTTTTTTTTTCAGTTCACAAAATCGTATCAGAGAACACTGGAAAGTGAACATCCCACTCCGTAAACGATAATCTGTTCCTAAACATTTTTCACGCTCATTGAAAAATATTTGAAGGATTATAAACACAATAGCCTCCATTTTGCGTGAAAATATGCTGACACATATATCTTTGGAAATTATTTGTTCCTCGAAGCTCACAGTCTTCCTCGAGCTTCTCTCTCCGAAAGCTGTTCGCTTCTCGGGACAGACATATTTTCGCGCCATTGATATTGTAATTATTATTATTATTTCCTATTGATATTGTAATTATTATTATTAGTGGTATTATTATTCTATTGTTATCATAATGCTTATTATCATCATAACCATTACATTATGATTGCTATGCTATGGCCGTAAGGACTTCCTTTCATACTATGACTGGACTACTCTAATTGAAAACATCTGAAAGCGTCTAATTAAAGTGATTAGACCCTCTAAAACTGTAGGTCCTTAGCACCTGAGTTAAAGTAATTTGGTTCATTGATGACTTTCGCTCTGGTCGTCAAAGCGTCATTCACGCCCTTTGTCAACAGCCCTGCTCAAATTAAACCCCGGGATGATCGTCCAAAGCAATCGACTATTACTCTTGGATTTGAACCATTTACTATGTAAAGTTGTCGATAACTATTACCATTTACATCCGCTAATGATCGCTATCATTCATATTCCAGCAAAGACCAGCAGTCCTGAAGTTCCTTAATTAATCAAGTCTCGTAATTTTTTCAAAAAATTTCACGATCGAGTTTGCCATCTCACATTAATGCAAATCATGCCGCGATATGCCTATTCGCAGAATTATGTCATATACCTAAAGAAAGTGGAAAATAATTAATTTAGGCGCTTAAAAGATCTATCGTTATAGCGAGTAGAAATGAAGGTGTAACTTTCCTACCTTGTATATATTGTAATGCGATGTTACGTCGATAGTGTAATAAGGAAAATCCTCTTCGATTATTACTAATCAATTAAAATTTGCAAAACGTAAGCCCTAAGAGCAAGAAAAATGGAAAATAAAGACGTCCAGAAAAAATTACCATTTACGTGTTAGTAATGCATGCCTCAACCCACGTCAATTATATAATTGGAAAGGCCAACTGTTTTGGCTTAATTATGAATTCCTGATCTTTGTCAAATTGTCCGGCTCAAATATTGAATCATACTGCACGTCACAACACTTTTCTTTACCTCTTTTTTTTGTTCCATTGCTCTACCGTAGAAATAAAGTTCTTTCCTTTCGTGTAGCAAAATACGAGGGCAATTTCATGCAGTCTTCAAAGCAATTTTCTGACAGGTGACGTCTCTCTGAATTCAGGTATGAGGCCATTATTATATTTCAAAAGTTTCAGATATCATAATGATTATTTCTTAAGTCAGTGTGTGATGTTTTTTGTTTTAACGTTACATATCCAGGATATAAATTTGTGTCAACGGAACCAGTATAGACTTTTTAATGCATATAGAAAAAGTTGTTTTCAAGATTTCACTATCATTTAGTGTACAAGAGGCAAGCAAGCCACATTATTAAAACGAACCATAGGGAAAATTTGTTTCCCTATGATTTAAAAGGTGTCGGTAAAACTATTTAAACAACAATTACTGATTCACCGGCTCAATCTATGAACAACAGGGAACTCACATGACTGAAATCATGGGGCAAAGTGAGCGAACAAGCGCGCATTCTACGGGCTAAGGGAATTTCTGAGTACCCAGACATACGGCCCTCAGAAAAGTGTTTAAGTCGGAAATGATACAGAAAATCATTATTGAACATTTTCATAAAATGGAGAAATCAGTTGACTGTCGTGAATTTATTTACTGGTGGGTAATTTTGGTATATACTTGACCAATTCATGACCTACCCGCTAAGAAGGCAAACGACCTGTTTGGGATCAATGAGCTTCACTGATTTTGTTTTTTGTGTTTTCACTGACTCTAAGTTCACTTATGGTGAAATACAAACACAGTTCACCTAACCTCAAAGCTTGAAAAACTACCGAGAATCGAAAATATTTAACAAAGAAGAGGAGATGGTAAGACCATTCTGCTGAAACTCGCTTAAAAAAAAATTAAAAATCAGAACCCGTCGTTTGTGTCAAAAATCGATGACTCTCAGTTGTTCAGTCTACGATGCATTTCCTTAGAACTCTATAAGTTTCACCAATTGCGTTGGTCCTGTAAGTGTGCTGTTTCATTTTGAAAGATTTTCTTACTTGTTTGAACGAAACAAAGGCGGCCACTTCAAAAATAGAATTTGACTGGTGGTGTCAACAATTTGTCGCCTCTCGATGGCTGATCGGGTGGCTGGCGAGTTAACCTGCCGTGCAGGATTATGAACCCCCGATACCAAGCTACGCGAAATTGCAAGAGAAAATCAGAATCCCTGAATTATTTTTCGCGATTGCAAAATACACCATTCCTTCTTTCGTTGGTAAATGTGCTTTTGAGTGGGATTTTCTCTATCTGCGACCGTCACCTTTTCTGTCATTTTCTGTGAAATATTCATGGAAGGTAAGTGAGAGAATGCCCGGGTCATGACTTTGGAATGTGTAGTTGATTAAATAAGACTCCCAGATAAGACACGTCAAAAAAGAATACCAGAAACTTGAAGGCCATATTGGTTCAATCAAGAAAATTCGACGGGGACTTTTTAAGGGTTTGGTTGTTTTACAAGGTAAGAAAATGGCTATCGTCTTCGAGTAGCGTTTGTATATTTGCCACACGAGGCGCATTATTTTGGACAAGTCTTGATTCAACCTGTCTTCTACCTGCTACAAGCAGCCGTGTTTTTCTTTGTGCAAGTCTTCGCGGTTATAGAAACAAGAATTTTCCACTGACGTAACTGTAGGTTGTACTTAACCTCTCACTCTCTGGGTCTTGTAAGAACGCAGGTAGCAACCCTTGTACTCGATACGTCCAAACAGCTTGATTATACAGCGTTCAAAGGACGACGGCAGAGGGGCAATTGTTAGTCAATATTTATCTTAAACTTCCATAACATTTTTATTTTTCGATTAGTTATTATAGACCAGTTGATAATTAAGTTTTGTTTTTTGTTTAACAGCAAAACATTCTCTTTTCGATATAAACAACTTTTAAATTTGATGTCTTTTTTAAGGAAGGATGGAGAGACTTGTCTTCCTTATAGCTTTAACCGTCGGCGGTGAGTACTTTTCACGTTTTTATACTATGCTTGGATTATCCATTTAACAATTTTTGTCCCGGGTACGATTTTCAACTTGTAACAACATATGTCTGTTAAAAATTTTGTTGAGACGACATTGCAGTCGCCTTAAATTCTACAGAAGACGATCAATTGTTAGGTTTTTTTCCTAATGTTTACGATATGTCTGTTTGATCTATAATAATAAGTGAGTTAGGCAAACCTTTATATAGTCCCTGACTGCAAACCTTTATATAGTCCCTGACTGACATGGCCTTATGTCAGTCATCGATGCCCTGAACTATTAGAATACTGTAAAATGGAGCTATAACTAAAAAAAATTGCAGTTCTGCGTGAAACTAATAGTTTAATATACGAGGCCATAGTGTAGAATGAGTGGCAATCTGTATCGGTGAACAGCCTAACGTCTGAAGCAGAAGCCTTCATAAGCTAACCTGTGCACTTATTAGCAAACTCACGTGAGGCAATACACATGTATATTGTTTTCTTGAATTTAATCACAATATTTACAATACTGTTTTTCTTCTCTGACAACTTGAAAACGTCGTCAACCTTAGAGGTTCCGTCTTGACTTTGTCTGGATACCTGCAGGTTATTTAGAGTTTGAATGACACGAATCTACTGAAAAAGTTAGGGGTTGTAGCTTCCTGAAGGTTCAGATTAATTTCTGTTCAGCCAAACTGAGCGAAGATGTTGTTCACCTGGAGTGAGCTGCGTTAATTGTAATCTTGCGCTCATATGAAAAACATCCACCAGGAAATCAGAATGGGTGCATCTGATTTGAAGCTTTAAGGCACAGATGAAAATAGCCACAAATTGATTTCGCGGAAGACTCTTTTGGCCCCAGAATATAAAAATAATTAGCTTAGTGGAGCTGATGTGTATGTCTCGAATATATTTTTGACTATTATCAAAATGGTACGCTCCACCATCTATTTGTTTCTTAGGTGACGCAAACACAAAAATGCTTGTTATAACAAACTGTTTGTTTGTATGCAGATTTGTGCAAAAAATGGCTTTGTTTTTCATAACAAGAAAATTATTTCTTGCAACAGTTTACTGCTGGAAATAAAAGAAAAAAAATTATTTGCGGTCGGAAGCCAAAATCATTAGCGAATGATTTCATGTTTTCAAAACAATACCGATACCTGCTTCTGAAAATCACGTACCGTGACGTGATGGTCAAGTCTGGTGACCTTCCCAGGTCGATCAAAGACTCACTGAAGACAGGATTTTACCACTTGACCTTTCAGAACCTGTTAAACTTCTAAAAAATAGAATTTTAATGGATCTAGCAATCTCAGGTGTTAATATGAGTTTGGTCTTAAAACAAAACTAAAACAAAGATATGCAAAACAGATGTGTCCTTTAGACGTGAAAAAAAAAAACTATATCTTCTAAAACATTGAAGAGGAGTCAAAGTTGAATGGTGGTTCTCACTTATAAAGTCAAATTAAAGTAGATGAAACTATGAGGCACAGAGGCTGATAAGATATAGAATAAAACAGAGATTTTTACAAAAAATTAGCGCCAACCAGGATTGATCCCACGGTCACTAAAGCGAAATATATAAAGCCTACACTTTCTATGTCAAGTCCCTATTCCGAAAACTTGTAGCCAACAATCCAAGCACTCCTTCTGAAAGGCTGTAAGCAATACACCGCTTTGAAAAATAAGAAACTGCTCTTAAATGACCATGTTTCTTTCGGCACTGAATCCCGGCCGATGTCCAGCCTATTCTGACTGTGGGTTTCTTGACAGGTGCATTGGCTTCTTGTCGGCACCCAAAGCCAGGCCAGTTTTTGTCCAAAAAGGAGGGAATCCCCAATTACGTAGACAGTCCATCGTCAGCCGACTTGGCAATTGACAGTAAGTATAAATCCACCTATCAAATCTACGTCATCCTCCCCTCAAAAATACATTTCATGTCAGTCCAACCAATGATTGTGGAAAATGATGAGGGTGTAGGTGCAGTGTCTGTTCTAGGGTTTCTCATTGATGTATCGCTCTCACAACAAATAGGAACATGCTATGCCTGGAAAAATTAGTAACTGCTGGAAAACTTAAAGCTGCTTTCGTAACAATGCACGTCGAAGAATTGTGGTGCAGCTCTTGATTGGGCACTCATCAAGGAAAACAATGGGAAATTATTTTCTCTTGGTGCTCGAAGCTTATAAGAACGTTTTTAGGAGCTCTATCAGAGTAATTACTAATGACTATTTTCCTGTTTGCGATGAAAGAGCGCCTTGTGGGACACCTTCAGTTCAACGCTACCAAAGGCAGTGTGGTTGAAGACTCCTCTGGTTATGCCAAAAACGGCATCCTTCAAGACGGTGCCATTGTGGTCAACTTCCCTAAGAGCAAATGTGGAAATGCGGCCTATGTCTACTGTGGGGACATTCTTTTCCATGGGGACACCTTCCAGGCCAAACCCAGAGAGGGTGTCACAGTTGCCGCTTTCATCAACTTGAAGGACATCGAAGGCAGCCGATCTATCTTCGATACTATTGGTATTAGTCATCAGTGCGGTCAGTTCCACTTAGAGGTGAACTATGGCTCTGTGCGCTGGTTCCACAGGAATGAGACTCAGCACATAATTTTCAGCGTCACCGCGGAGGGAAAGCAGGTGCCAAAAGGTATGCAGCTTTCTTGTTAAAGCAACATTGCTTCCCTAGAACGGATTTTGTTCTCTCTGCACTATTTCAGCTGGTAAGGCAGTTATAGTGCCAATACGCATGACCTTTTTAATTCTGCATTTTTGACCAAATTAAAGGAAAACGCTCCACTGACAAGTCGGAATTTGATGTACGTTTTTTTGTCTCTTAGTGTAGAGTTATGACCTTTCGTTTTTGCCTCTTAAATTTTCTTATGTCATGCTTGACTAATCCTTCTTTTGTTGTTTTCTCCCTTTCTAGATAAATGGACCCATATTGCGGGAACCTACGACTCCGCCACAGGCAAGTCCAAGATCTATGTCAACGGCGAGTTGCGTAACATGACAATTGGTGGAGGACTTCTTTCAAGAGACTGGCTGTCGAGAGCTGGAATTGGTGACCACAAGGCTGGCCGTCCACTGATGGGATTCATCGATGAATTCAGGATCTATAACTACGCTCTGACCAAAACTGAGATCGAGGGTTTGGCAAAAATGTGCCTTCCAGGTATTTTCTAAATTAATTACATCTCTTACTTCCATGTACTAAATTTATAAAATGTTTGTTCGCACACCAAAATCGGTCACACCAAATGCAGCTCTTTTGGTTTTCCTCTTTAACCCACCTTCATAGTTTGCTTTCGCTTCCAGTAGGATAATTTAATTATGTATGCATGTGCTCCCGTTAAATAAGTCTTGTTTGAAAGGTATTATTCCACAAGCGGAGCACAAACTTCTCGACAAACCATCGAACCTCAATGACGATCTGGAATTAGGAAGTAAGGCAAATGAATTTGGGCAAGGAATCAAGTCTCATCAACCTCAAGAAGAGTCGGTTGAAGAAGCTATTCTTTAAGATGAACGACGAGAAGATCACGACTTGCTGTTGAATAACACTGACAATCATGATTGTATGACGTTACTCATGCTCGATACTGCATTGAAACTCTCTAAAAGCTTCATGTGATGGCTAGCTTTTACTTTACCGTTCTTTTTGTTATTTGTTTATTTATTTGTGAGTGTTTTTTTTTTCATTTTCTTTGGCGGAAAGTACCAGAAAATTAAAAGCTTTCACCTGTACGCAATATTTTTTGGAGAAACTTGATTGGGCTTTCTTGAGAGACGTCAACGATACGCCGGCATAATAATCATGGCCATGGAAACCTTTCCATGCAACAAACAGAAGATACAAATCCGAGCATGGCAGATTTAAAAAACCACCTCGATCTGCGTCTTATTATAGCGGTGTATAAAATACATGATAATGAGAGCATTTCTGTTCAAATCGAGTGTAAATTAACTTATTCTTCTTTAAGACCATAGTTTTCTTTGATGCCGATCAAGTTTAAATCAGGTTTCATTGAAGTATATGATAAAAGGCTATACGTTCCGCTTTCGGATCCGATGTTTAGTAAAACAATCAACTTGGGAATAAACCCGGGAATGTTAGTCATATCGATACACAGTATTTTTGTTTTCGATTGCCATTATATTATTCGGTTGTGTTTTGTTTGTTGACTAAAGCGAGGATTGATCTGGAATAATCGTAATTCATAAAATTGTTAAGAAAGGAATTCACATCAAACAGCCTTACATACATACATACATACATACATACATAGTTACATACATACATACATATGTTAATTGCCGCTCCCCATGGGGGCTTTTCAGGGACAATTCCCACCCAGCAACCACCCCAGGGGAGGACATCCATCACACAGTAATCTCGTGCGTGCATGGGAAATGAACGTCTCCTACCCCTAACCCTGCAGGAAACGGGACCTCCATTCATTCGTCCCTATCCGAGAAGACTAGAGTATCTAACCCATTTCTTAATAGAAAGGTAGCATATTCTTCTCACTTGTTTTAAAACCTTGAGTGTTGGTCCGGCCGGGCTCGAACCCTCGACCTACCGCACAACAGTCCAGCGCTCTATCCATTGAGCTAACTGGGAGGCGGAAACCTTCGGCTACTTAACCTTAAAAGGGTGACGCTGTCATCGAGAATATCTAACCTATTTCCAGGTGTCCAATCAGGAACCTCCTTTGTTTGAGAGACAACGCATTCCGAGCGAAAACGGAAAAATTTTTGGTTTGATTTACAAAGATTTTTGTTTGCTCAAGAACTACAAGGATATTTATTACTTACTGGGCATACCGGTTAAATTTCCAAATTTGAAACTTTTAATTGTCATATCAACTGGAAGCAACTGAAATTAAGATATTTACCTGACCGAGAACCGAGATATCACACTCACTCGGCTATCAACATCGACAAATAAAACAAATACAATGAATTAAATGCAAGATTGCAATATTTCCACTTATAGTTGAATAGACTGAATCTGGCAAATAGGGGTTTCATCTTGGTTTACATCTTAAACAAAGAAAACTGGAATAGGCAGCCATTAATGGGTTCAAGATGCTTGCTATGTCAACCTCTATTTGGCCTTATCAGCACCTAGTCTAGTTTTATCCTTACTTGAAATAATTTGATGCTTATAACATTATGATACTTTGTACTTTAGGCACATTTTCATGATCAATTCCATGGGAAAATGTTTCAAAATTCGTTTTTCATTGTGGTTATCAGAAAAATTGGAAAAGAGCGAACGCTAAGGGGAAAGAATGTAGCGGTTTAAATCATTGTAACGGTGGCCAAGAGAGAAAAATTTTGGCCACGATGTGCCTGTCCGCCCGGCCTCACTCAAAAATAAATTCGAGTCAAAGGTTACCCAAATTTACAGTGATATAGCTGACCTTTTGTGGTATTTAAATTCAAAAACGTAAATTTTTCTCAAAGGGCGTTTTCAATTCCCTATAGTTCGGATGAAATACGAAAACTTCTACTCACTTGAGAACGATTTACCTAGTTACGTAAAAAGCTTTTTTATAGAAATCTGACATTTTCACTTGTTGTAATCCTTGCTTTCACCTTTAAACCAGTTTTGTGGCATTTATGAATTCTTTTTTTGGTGAAAGATATTACTAAACAGGATCTAACCTGCCTATACACCGGTAGTAATAATGGAAAGTAGCGAGGAGGGAAAAGGCGGTTAGGCATCATCATCATATTCTTATAGTATGGGTGGCATGTTTGAAACCTTAATTACGCAATTGAATGGACAAGAATAAGTGTTTCTGTTACAGTAATGCTCGTTGAGGTCGTTGTTTCTTTGTTTCTCCTTGCTGATTACTCCAGCAGCCCGTGACCATCGATTGATGTTGTGACCTAGATAATTTATGATGTGATATCTGACCTATATGAAATATGGTGTAATATCTGACCTATATTGCTGATTGCTTCTTGCAGCTTCTTGCTGGTCACTCTAGTACCTGATGTCAGCAATGATTCGTTTTTAACGACCTATATGATATGTAATTTGATACAATTTGACATCTGACCATATCTGAAATATGTTGGGATATCTAACCTATATTGATTATTGCTTCTAGTAACCTAGTAACCTATATGAGGGTTGACTTAAGTTTTGCGACCCATATGATATGTAATTTGATATCTGACCTATATCACTGGTGTGATATCTGACCTATGATAATTGAGCTTTTGGTGCTCTTTGTTGGTTACTCGGGCGCCTTTGGACATTAAGTGTTGTGATATGATCTACATGATATCTGATTTGATGGATAATTTTTGTAGGAAATGGCGTAATATCGGACGCATATCATTCATGATATGATTTCTGATATATGAACTTTGTTATTGTTTCAGGTGGTGGTGCTGCTGCTGGTAGTACTCCAGCCCCAACTGCAACCCCACCCACCTCCGGCACAACCCCGAAAATTTCCGACCAAATGAGTCACGATGCTGAATTCGCACGCAAGGCTGGGAAACATTTCAAGTTTCCTCAAGAGGAGTCTGTGGAGGAAGCCGTGCTCAAAAGGTCCCCTGTGAGAGGATCACGCGGCGTTGATGTGCTGTAAACAAAAACAAACAAACAATTTGAATGAACGACGTTACTCGTGAACTTAAGCTCGATACTATCCAAGCCGGGTATCGAATAGAATTGGAATATTCTCTCGTTTGGACTTAACAATGTTTGAAAACCCAACCAACATGTGAAAGGAGACCTTTCTTTGTATTTCAAAGGGCCCTGTAAGTGTGGTTTTAAAACAAAGGATGTAACATGACATCTAATCAAAGCCTTGTCAAACCACGTACAACTATCGATTAAATGCTTTGTACATCATGTTCATTCTTTGGTGTTTCTGTCACTTACATTGCACCTTTTGCTGTCACTCATAAATGGCGTGCAACATGATTGGCGGTTTAACTTAGTGAGGTCAAACATTGGTGTAATATTTGCTAGGGAATACGAGTCTAGAACCGGCACTGAATGACTTATGGATACATACGACCTGTCATGGGTAGTTATCTCCCACTCATTTCTAGTTTTATGGCCAGTTTATGAAACACGGCTTATGTTTTCATGTAAGGAACTAATGTACAAATTGCTTGTAAAGTTATCTGTGATTTTTCATTGTGCTAAATTATCTCTCCTTTCTATGATACTATTTGGTTTTCTAGGCTTGATGTAAGTACAAAGAAACAATTGAAGGAAAGCTATGTTTTAAAATTTGAAAGAAATGTTTGGATGCCGAATAGCTAAGAAATAAACATGGGCAGTATTACGATATATCATATGTAGTCCCATTTTATCTTCAACTGCACAAGGGCTGGAACCTTTACTTTAATACCTACCTGACGTCAGTTTCTGTACATTCGATTGGTACTGAAACCCGTCTTTGGTGCGATTCCCAAGCTTTCAAAAAGATCTGCCGTGACACGACACTATATTCGATTTGCGGAAACAATTCCTCAATCTTCATCCAAAAAAAAAAGAAAAAAAAATTAAGTATTTTTTTCAACGCAATTCCTTAGCATACTGACACTACAAGTTTTATACTTAAAGTAGGTTCAGAACAACCCAACTTTTACGATAAGTTATGTTAGCTCTGAACTAACAGTAAAGACTTTTTTCAGAATTGGTGTCGCTAAAAAAATCACAACTACAAGGTAAACCTTCCCTCTAAAAGGAGACCTTCTTCTTACCTGAGGTTGTGTTCATGGCCTCCTAACTGAACGAATTCAATTATCCCAGTGAACCCTTGGTGAACCTTTGTTATATTTTACTTCAGGGCACCCTCAGGTTTCCAAGAAGAATAGACGTATTTAGATCTTCTTTGACGCTGATAGAATATGCCTTATTTCGTTGGTAAATATAATCTTCTTTTAATAAAAAAAAAAAAAACGCCTTTTAATAGGCCCCAAAATAGAAATATTCTGTTCGCAAGAAGTCTCGGCCATCCCATGTTGCAATGGCCAGAAATCTGGATTCTGATGCAATGCTGCGTTCTTAGTTCAAATCATGGTTGGACTTGACTGATCATTATGTTTTTCATATAGCTCATAGCCATTAACTTTCATCTCAGCTTTCAGTTTCGTTTTTAGTTCTAAATTTCCATATAGATGTTCTGGTGACTGAACCGGTATAAGTGACTGAAAATCCCTTGATGTACAGTCAACGAAGAAAGCGGATGATTTGCTTCGTTTATCAGTATCTGCATGTAAAGTGAAAGCTTAGAAATTTTCCCTGTTGCAATTGTCGCGTGTGAGGGTTTGTGCATAGAGATTGGCGGTGTGTGTTTCTTCCAAATGATACAAGAGGCGTAAACCCTTGAGTAAAAATCAAAGACACGGGCACTGTTGAACCCCAAGGTCCAACAGTTCATGAAAGAAAAAAAGCAACTCATGCGTTCATGAGTCTTCATCATTTGTGTGGAAAGTGATGACTAATCATTACGTAGTGCCTAGTAATTCACAGTGTGAAAAGAAAGTGCAGTTTGGGTGTTACGATCCCTCAATTTGCTTTTTTTTATTCTTTTTCATTTTGTAGGCTTATCTTAGGATACCCGAGACAAAAACGGAGGACAAAATTGGTTAACAAGATCGTTCATGGTTTAGGACTTGAAACGTTTTTGAAAAAGTAAATCTTGAAATTCAGCCTTTACTGCTGTGAAGGTAAATCATATGTCATGAGGAACTTTTATGTAGGTTTGCTTTTTCTATTGTCAGCAGTAGTCAATTCTTCAAATGGCCTTTTGTTTAAATAACTCAAGATTGAACTGATATTTCGTTTTTTACACCGGGACATTAAAGGTTTTTTGAACTGATCTGTCGGGTTCACAAGTTAACTTTTTTGCGTAGGTGTTATGCACCTGTTGTGAGCACACGAAACTGCTGATTTCCAACACTGATGAATTGGCCTAAGGCGTGAGAGCTTAGGAAACTTAGACAAAAGGAGTTGACTAAAAAATCAGCATAAAATATCCCTTTTCCCCTCTGTGCATCTTAAATCGTGATTAAACCGGGTCCAACTTTCGTCTGATAAAGCTTATCAATAATTACAGAACGCGACGTTTTGAATTTCTAAAAAAAATTCTAAAAAATGTTACATTAAAACTGTGATTTACTGATTACTTAGTTTACGAAGTTAATGGGCAGCTCACGCCGTTAAAACCTATAGATTTCATTTGTGCAACTAGGAAAGGTGCAAAGTATCTGGTACGTTAACGTTATCAAATTACAACGACGCGGTGATATTTTGAATTAGAAGAACTGTTTCTAGTTTAGACAAAATGTTTCCGTAAACTTGATACGTGTGAACACTGTCCTATAACATACCCACCAATACTTACCTTTCTTTAAAAGCTCTTAACTAAAAAACGGTTAGCCTCTTTCACTGCTTTCACCTCAACCCTGACTCTGACTCTAACCCTGTTTGACCCCCAACCAGTTCCTTAACAAGTTTTCAAAAATGCTCGTGGCTGGTATCCTTTTCTATTACTGCGTAAGTGTTTTGCGTTTCTTAAAAGATGAAGATTTTTTTTTTAGCTTTAAACGACAATTGAAAAGGAGGGGACTGATAGAAAAGTTCAAGTTTTTGGTAAGAACAGATCGATGAACCCTAAGCTTTATGTTCGTAGTTTCAACTGCTATTCTTATCCTAAAAGGGGAAATGACTCGAGCTCTATTCTCGTTAGGCAATAAATAATGTAAAGCAACTCACAGCGCTTATTTCTTCGGGTTCTATAACGCAAAGGGCTTCAGCTCTCATCCCTAATCACTGATTAACACAACAGGCATCACAGACGCATAACCAAGGCTTTGTGCTTCAAGAAACTCCGTGATCAAAAATAAGAAATTCTGGGAGGGGACAATAAAAATTAAATGCAAAAGATTTTCCAAATTAATGAAAGAGAACTGATTTTTTTTTCAAATTTACTAATGGAGTTTGCATATGAACTCCACCTGAAAATTAAAATCCTCAAGCATAATCTTTAACACTTGACGGTTAGGTAGAACGCTGCCCGACACAGCCAATAGACGTTCCACCGAGTCAGCCTTGGGCCTTAGTTGTTCGCCTGTCAAACCAGACATTATGCAGCTAGCTTTTGCACCTTAATGTTAAATGTGCAGCGATAGCATGCGTTATTAGTTTAGTTTACGTTCGAACGATCTTCCTTACTCGCAATCGGAAAAGCGGCGTAAAGAAGTGAGAAACCATATTACTTTCTTTCACTTAATTTAACCGTTGTGAGCCACAAAAACTGCCGGATGAATAGGAAAAAATGAATAAAGGGGGTAAGTTTCAAAAGAAGTGTGGTGCCGCGTCGGTGGGGGAGTGTAACAAGATAAATTAACCTTCAACTGATTTGATGGTGTAAATTAGCCACCGTAAAGAGCTCAGAAAATCTTAACGGTGGCCAACTTACATTATAAACTTAGTTGGTAATACCAAATTATCTTAATAGGGAAAGGCTGAATACAATTCTTTTCAAAATCTCAAAAGAGCTGCTTTCAATGATTCCATCCACCATCTCTCCGCGCTCGTTGTTCCGTCTTGGTCAGCGGTTGTCGTTACCAATACAAACATGGCGGCGAGTCATTGTGTTAATTTGAGCGCGTTAAAACATCTCAAACCCTCCAGCAGAACGTTAATATTGTTTTTATTTTAGGCTGCCAAAACTAGCCATCATAGAATGATTTAAGTTAAGCTAGATCAGGAGTTTTGATGATCTTGCACGGGTGAAAAATGGAGGCAAAGATGGCGAATCCGAGATCGAGTGAATCATCATTGTTTCGGGTACTGGTACTTTGTATTTTTAAGTCTAAGATATTCAAAACTTTAAATTTTTCAACTGGATAAAATTGGATCTATAGTCTTAAGATCTTTCAGTACAATACTGCGGAGGTGGCTTGTTCAAAAACCTATCCACGATCTCCGGACCATCACATTGTATCATGATTGATACAGTCGCTGTACGCGAAAGCGAATTTATCAATTATGAAATCAGCTAGGAAAGTAAAAGTAGAATATAATCTATTAGGATGGGAGCTGGGTTTCTGAATACTTCTTGTGGTGATTATTATAGAGCATTTAAGAAAGAAATGTGGTTAAATTCAGTTAGCTTTGTGAGAAGCTTCGTATAAATACGATATTAATATTTAAATTTTTCGTGTGAAGAGCAGCGGTGGTCCCATGGTGTAATGGTTAGCACTCTGGACTCTGAATCCAGCGATCCGAGTTCAAATCTCGGTGGGACCTTGTTTTTTTTTTTTTTTTCCCCTCACGATTTCATTTTTCTTCTTTATCTTTCTATTTCAACACTTAATGGCATTATTTAGTCGTTTCTTTTTTAATTTCACTTTTTTCACCATAAACTAATGCAGCAACTACAGCTTCCCAACTACAACTATAATGCAGCAACTACAGCTTCCCAAAACGATTCCCAACAACTATAATGCAGCAACTACAGCTTCCCAAAACGATTCCCAACTACAGCTTCACTATCTCCGGTCCATCCCTTTCAGCTAAAGATAAATAATTCCTTTTAAGTTAAAATTAGATAAATTCCTCGTCTTAATGATAAATACACCTGATTCAACGGTCGAGTAATGAGTAAAACGTCCGTGCATATAACATGCTAAACCATCGAATAAGGGTTTATTATTCCACTCAGTTACGTACGTTATTTTCCGTATTTTGGCCTCTAGTTTCGAAATATTTAATCACATATCGACCGATTTATCTCATAAATAGGCATTATTTATGCCCCGATGTACCAGGTCTGATTTGTTTTGTTGCCTTGTTGAAATATTAACGGGTTGAGAGCTCTTGGAAAGATCGATCAAAATTGGTGTGATGCATAATATAGATCTGGCAGTCTCTCTGCCTCGACCACATTGTAACGGTTTATATAAGGTATACGCTCGACCGCTGAACAAAATCGCCGGCGTGATAAAAGATGACCGAGCGGTGGAGCGTTGATATGGACAGAAAAACTAGGAGAACTGAGGAAAACTAGTTTACTACGGTATCTGATGATCTTTTAGGAGCCGTCCGATATTGTGTGTGTTTGGAAATCAACAATATAGTTTTGCTTAGTAAAGGACTATTTGTACGCGAACATCTGAAGTTTCTCGTCCACTTGGTTCACCTACGGATGAACACAAATACGGTTATTGAGAAGGTCCCTGGAAATGGCGAGATTTCCTTTCTCCTTTCAGACTTATGTAATTTTAGAGCAAATAAACAAAGATGTGGTTTACGGAATTTTGATGAAACAGACCTAAAAACGGTTAGTTAGATGCAAATTTCACGTCAGCGCGTGTAATAAAACAGTTGCTCAGAAATTTATTTCTAGTTTTGGAAGTTAACTAATGGTTTTCATTGCCCATGTTTTGATCACAAGTGGTTGGTCGTCGGAGATATTGGGCCTTAAAATATCCATATTTTGGTTTTGTCAAAACCAGAAAATGTTGCCTTCACGGCTTTAGGGAAGGTAAGAGAAGAAATGAAATGGAAAAGTTAAAACAATTCAATGTTCATGAAGTCTGATAGATATTGAACACAACCCATTGAGTTGACTGAATTTGCAGATGGCTTTTGGGTTTGTCACAGAAGCATTGCAACTTGAGTTAGCTAATTATGCACGAATGCAGGAAATGGGGGTTTTCCCTGGGGGACCCTATATCTCCGAGGGAATTAGATATTTTTACCTATTATTTTCACCCATTTGTTAACTCGCGATACTCATCATTTGTGCCAGTTATGAGCGAAATCGGTGATTTGACCATTATCGTCCCCTGCTCGATCTCCTCGTGGTAATCAGGTTCCTCAAAAGTTATTTGTGAATCCAATAATTTATCAGGATCTGCAACTGTTGATTGGATTTGAAATACTTTTCGAAAAGGATTTATATAAAAGAATTCGATTAAATATGTTGGGGATTTCCTGAAATGTTTTTGGATTGTCACTTATCGGCTTCCGCTACTATGGCTCCATTTGTTGGCTCACTCTATTTTTCTAGGGGGTCACCTGATGGACGCCTGACAGATTTCACTACCGTAACTGTATTTGTGTACGTTAAATACCTAATCGTACCATTTCGGAACGCTTTGGCGGTTTTTGTAAAGTCTTGACTTAGGTGTATTGGATCAACTGTGTCTCGCCAAAATACAAACCATCGCTCGACCAAACTCAGTCGCCTGATACGCCGTCGAAACCTATCAGAACGGTACGAATGGGTAAAGTGACAATATTAGTGATACTTATGATACTTATTGTATTCCAGATGTTTTAAAATTAGCTTAATATTGTAAATAATCTGAAAATTGCAACCAATTTTCACTTCCGAACAAGGCTAAGCATTTTCGTCACTGAAGTTGTTTTGGTTATTGCCTATTGTGTCGTATCAGCTTATGCGAGCAACATCAGTCAAAACAAATCAATCGTTCAAAATTTTTCTTCTCTACTCCGTTTCTATAGATTTTAGCACTTCAACTGAATAGGTGAGGGTTCCATGGTGTAATGGTTAGCACTCTGGACTTTGAATCCAGCGATCCGAGTTCAAATCTCGGTGGGACCTTTCCGTATCACTTTTTGGACCTTTAATTCCTTGCTGAATTCAAATTTTAATGTTGGTGCCAGGGAAATACTGAATACTCTAGGATGGGTCTTTGAAATAAAAACATTAAGCACAACTAGGACGGACAAGCCTTGTTTAGCTACGTATCACGTGTTTTTTTTACTTTGTACTCGAAGTTCTTTCTCTAACAATGACGTCCCATATCACGTTCCTGGTATGATTTTTCCATAAATAGTCCTTTTTAGTAAAAGCTGGGACAAAATCCATTGCTTTGAGTCAAAATCTTGAGGGAATCTATGGCATACCTAATCTATATATATTTTTGTTTCGAGAACAAAGATGTATAGGACTACTGCAGTCCGACGTACTACCTCGCTCACCATACTCCCTTCATAAACATTCAGTCAGTCCTCAATAGCCCTTCTCGCATTTATGCCCACTGTACGAGAACTCAGCGGACTTTGAAGTTTCGAAACGAAGCTATCGGGTCACACAGGTAAAACTTTCAAGTAAAATCGAAGTAAACGGCTACGTTTGGAGGCATTTTTATTCATTTTCTTAAGGATACAGCGTGTTCTCATCATGGTTAGACATTGTATTGCGTACGGGTGCAACAGTCTATTCAGTGAATCGGCAACTGACGAGATCCACAAGATTAGGATCGAAAGCGCGGTCTTGCCTGACCTCCTACAGAAAATGTCGCAAGACATTCTAACGGCAGATGGGCTACTGAACGCCCCAGGCCAAAGCAATGCCATTGAGAACGAAGAAAACATGGAAGCCGCATATGACACCGCCAGCGAAAATGATCTACTCGGTAAGTCCGAGGATGACGAACAAATCCCTCCGTACCAAATGCCTAGCGGGAAAAGACCTAAACAACAACGTCAAAGCCGGAACAGCACCAGCCGACCAAGGACACTGAGCAGTACAAGAAACGTCGCCGTCAGAGGCTTTCTGGGTGTTTGGGGATTTATGTATTTATGTAATTAGGACAGGACGCCAGATTGCTTACACACCGGTTTAACGATGGCATGTAGTAAAAATTCATAACAAAAGCCGCCTCCCCAGAGGTCCTACCGAGATTTGAACTCGGATCGTTGGATTCAAAGTCCAGAGTGCTAACTATTAAACCGTGGGACCTTGCTTGCTACGTTCAGTGCATATGAAAGCTTCCTAATGAAGGTCCGTCACAAAAAGTCCACCCCATCTTGCAGGTAGACTAACATTCGGAAGGATTTCCCAAGCCGAGTTTACCGGCATTTTCTCTATCGAAGCATCACACAAAATTCTAAGAGGTTTCTTTGTATCTTTGTCTTAGTTTCCTCCCAAGTTAAGTCCCGGCCGGCTTCTTGACCTTTTTTTTTTAAACCAAAAACGTGTTTTAAAAGGCTTTAATGGGGCACATAGTTTCACTGAAATAGCCCCCTAAAAATCTTCCTTCTACTAACATGACCAGAAACAACTATAGAATACATCAGAAGCAACTGAGTATGTTTACCATTCTTTGTTATAGAAAAATAGAATAAAAATGATTTTTCTCTGAAGGTTTCATAGTGTAATAGTTAGCACTCTGGACTCTGAATCCAGCGATCCGAGTTCAAATCTCGGTGGGACCTTTCGTTATCGTTTTGCTCATCAAGGTGCAAATTCCGGAACTGCACATTTATGAGCCTGCGTAATAGGCCTTTTCCAAATCTTTTTCTCCAAGCGGAAATAGAAAGGCTTGCAAAGCAAGCGCGCTCATGAACTGACTTCGAATTGATTAACACTGAGCCCTCGCCTGATTATGTTCCTGAACTGATTTATTTTAGCTGAAAAGGAGAAATGAATATCTGGCCGAGAAGCGAATTCGAAGCTTCAAGGGCAAGTGAGAAAATTTGAGGATAATGTCTCAGCCAAGAACGTATCAGCCGACACATATCAGCGAGCCAGAAAGGGGTTTCTTTATTTTATAACCCTCCCATTAATTTTCGTAGGGGCGTCATTGCGTGATAACTCTACGGCGATTTTGCACCACGTGAAAATCAATGAGTGGGTGATCCTAGGATATTCCCCAGTTTTAGCTGAGGAGTTAATTTTCGATCTCATCGGATGCGTTTAGACAAATCGCGCGCGAGCAAAAATAGTTACTGGTAAAAACTATACCGGAAGTGATCTGAACAGTACCGATCAGAATACGAGGCATGGCTAAACATGAGAGATTTTCATTTAAAAATAAACCGAATTGAAATAAAATGAGATTGTTGTAAACTTAGCACCCAAATCATTGATAATTGCGAAAAATTAAAATGATCTTAATACTGATCTTTTGTCATCAAGTTTTTTTTTTCTGAGGTCTAAAGTTCTAAAATCAAACAGATACACATTATTCTATCTAAAATTAGCGAAAACCTTCACCCGTTAAAAAATTGTGATAACTTAATTTTCTAAAAACCTTTCAACTAAAGATACCCCATCGACTTCGACATGTAAAACTAACTGCGATCAAATAAGATGCAAATTTACAGGTAAATTGTTTTTGCATCCTCACTAAAGATGGATAGAGCCTTGCTAAAGTTTAAGAAAAATTTACCACGTCGGCTTTTAATTCATTATCTTTGTATTCTTGAAGTGGCGTAGTGTAACGGATTGACCTGTCCTTACATGAAATTATTTCGTGTACCAAAATAAAAGTTGAATATAATTTTACCTAGTACGCCAGTCTAATTCGGCGTCACACAAAGATTCAGAAACCGAAAACAGAAGTTCACGTTGAGATGTTTTGCATAGAAATGCTGTTCCTTAAGCTACACAAGGTTCCTTATTAGAGAACATTTTACCTTGTAAATAGTTTTTTCTTCTCTATATTTCATAAACATAATATTGTAGATAAACGATTGTTTAACATAGGTGGCCCGAAATCATTGTAAAAATGAATTAACCAAAACATCGTTTTCCTTCGGTTCATGCAATTGCAGTATGGTTCCATACAGCTGCGCAAGTATTAACTGATACCATGAATGCTTTATTATTCTGGATAAAAATGTCAAAACTCCTAATGAAGCATCATTGTCAATCTCTGCGGGCTTTTCAAGCCCAGCTGTCCTTAGCGAAGTATTTATGCTCTTTGGAAAATTCTAGCCTCTCATAATCAATAACGATTTACATGTGGAAGAATCAGAGCACGTTTTATTGCTCACCGTTTCACAGTAACATGGTTCGCTTGTTAGCAGTTGCAGTGACCGCTCTTGTTATCTCTGAGGTCTATGGAAGAACGGCATATATTCCAGCCAGTAAGTATTTTTTACAAATAATCTCGCAAATATTGTCTCTTAAAAAATATTCTGTAACTTTTTTCTTTTTTTTCGGCATCAAAGTCGTAGCCATTAAGGCATACTTGATAATATGCACCTAGTTAATGGTACAAACTACAGTAGTTCAAGTATGGGTATATATGCCTTGTGACAAATCGCTTAAACACCATTCGGTGGGACTAATCTGAAAAGAGTTTATTCTTGATTTCTTTATGCTTTTCTCTTACCTTTCCTCTTAAAATAAACTGTTATTGTTTCTTATTTCGGAAGAAACATTGTAACAAATAAAAGTTATCTTTCTTTTTAAATTTCGCGTTCTAGAAACGATTTTTAATCGAAGTTAGTTGTTCTCAATGACTAACCGTTGGCCTCTAACTTGGTAGTTATGATTAATTAACCAGCAAAACCATTGGGCAGCTGGCTATCAAAGCCAATGGTAAAGTAAGACGGAGAGGAAATAAATTTTTAGAGCCAGAGCAGAATTTATCGATAGTTTTGAATTTTGTAGATGCAAACAAGGATGTGCACCGCTCCGCGCTGATGGGACAAAACGACCCATTCTGGGCTCGCAGCGAGGGGAATGAGCTGGAATTCGAGGGAAATGATGACAGCGGCTCAGTGGAGGAGAACTTGAAAAGCCCATTTCTAAATAACCACAGGGTCTCGTACGAAAACATTGACGATGACGTTATCCCATCGTCAAGGAGTGCTCGCGAACACGAAAACAACGATGGAATCTTTGAGGGGCGCGTAAGGTCGGGCGGTTATGATCATCCTTTCAAGCGTGCCCGCATTCCCATTCCCTGCTCGCGTTGCTGTAAAATTGTCAGGTGAGGAGAACCTTTACCATTTAGTTCTACTTCGTCCTATGATGCAGGAAGGTACGAAAGGCTTCAGGAACAGCATGCAACTACCTCGTAGTAAAGACAGTAAACGGGTTCATCGTTCTATTGGATTAATCCTCTTGAATGTCTTCTTATACCTTTATTTCCTTTTTTATTAGGTGTACTGCTATCTATGATCACATGTGTAATTGTGAGAAGTGAAGGATGCAGCATGGAGCCAGGAGGCATAATGTAGTTGTTAACAATAACTTCAAAACGTCACTGAAACGAGCACAACTCCTCTAGAACGGTATAAATTACTGTTCTAAGCATCTTCAAAGTAGTCATAGGAAAATGATATGTCTTTTTTCTTGTTGAGTCATATGAAAAGAAGGGATAAATGGAAGAATAAAAATGAAACAGGAAAAGGAAAAATTGCATTGACTACACCTTTATATGCTATCTTACGCTTTCGCATTGTTTGTTTTTTTTTGTTTTTCTTTCAGAACCTTGATCATTTCTCCAACTCCTCTAGACTCCTCTAGCAATGTTTCCTCTTATTTAGTCGATGTATGTGATGAGCCTTTTTTTAAGCCCTCTGGTAGTTTCGTCTCAAGCCTTACCACCCTTACAGTTGATTCTGTGATCTTATCCTTATCCTATCTTATCCTGCGAAAGGGCTGAATCATGAATAATTTACAAAAGGTTCATAGGGCTTTTGGGCTTTTTAATCCGTGCGGATATCTAAGCCTTGGAAAACAAATTTATTTGGCGCACCAAGGGGTCTCCTTTATCGTGTGGTGTTTGATTGTTGTTAATGATTTCTAATTCTATTTATGTTACCAACAAACTGCAGTTATTGAAGTGTCGAATGAGCCTTAATTTGTTACCAACAAACTGCAGTTATTGAAGTGTCACGTGACCCTTAGTTTTCTTGGAACGAAGAGAATCGTCAGTTATGTTCATTTGAACATAATAAAACTTGTGCACGAAACAATGCAAGGCCGTCTTTTCGCGTAACGAGATCAGTTGATCAGTGTAACACTTTGATATTACAATGTTGAACTCTATGCCCGCGTCTATGCCCTCTCTTTTGAGAGGTATTTTCTGCAGATTGCGAAGAGTGGAATTAAGTTTTGGAGAAAACCAGGTAATTCAGCCGGGACCAGTCATCTCCGCATCTCCCCGTCTCCCTCCCCCTCCCCCTTATTTTTAGTGATACTGTGTCAATGTTGTTTAATCACTCAATAAGTAAGTGTTGAATACATTGATGTATTCACAACTTGTTTAAAATGCGTTTTTTGCCCTTCTGTGAAAGTCTACCTGTCAGAAAAATACACACCAACACGAGATTAAAAATTGATGAAGTAACACATCTTATAATTAAGTAAAACTTTATAGACAAATAAAATGATGATAAAATACGATGAAAACGATAAAAAAAAATAATAATCGTGCTCTAGCTCGGAGCCTTCATTTCAAGCTGTTTTCATTCTGTCTGTTCAAACTGAAACCCACTCGAGCAATGGTTCTTGTGCTCTCTGAGTGTAAAAAAGAGGCTGCTAATTAATGGATAAACAGCACCAGCATTGGTGCACTTATTACAACTTCATGTTACATTTTCTCCGAATTATTTGGGGGAGTCATATCACCAGAGGAACTTATGAAGAGCATTTCTCGTACGTTACAAATGTGCAGAAACATGCAAAAAACGCTGTGGTTGTTTAGGAGAAGTTTGATGCGCATTTCTACGATTACAGTGTTGATCATCTTGGAAACTCGCTAATCTAACTGTAGAGACAAAACGATGTAAGGTGAAGAAGGCACACTACAGACTACATCTGTCGGCACATTCCTTGTCACTTTTCAAAATTCGGCACCTGCAGACATAGAATCAAGAAAAAAAAAGGCTTTATAAGAGGCAGTTAATTAAACTGTCCTGCCCTTCTTAGTACAGCCACGTCTGGCCGCGGGATGGGAAATATGGGGTGGGCCAGGTGCGGGGAAGGATTGGAGATATAGACCCAAGAAAAAAACTTTGTAATAAGAAGCAGTAGATTACATTGTCCCACCCTTCTGAGTACAGTATATATAGCCTTCTCTAGCCCTGGGATGGGAAATGAGGAGGGCAGGGGGAAAGGGAAAGACTGAAGATTTAAATGAAGAACCAATTCCCATTTTTAACAAAAATGGAACAGAGTTGGGGTTTTTAAAATCACGGTGGATCACGAAATAGCTTGAAATTTTGACACGAATTCGACCTTAGAGTCTAGCTATTAGCATCAGAATTCAGAACATGGCTCAGGGTCAGTCTCTTTTTTTTTAAAAAAAATGCTGTAGATTCTAAAAAGGAAAGTCACGTGCGATGATCGTCGCTGACGCCCCAGTCGCGATTTTATCTCTTATCCAAAATATCGAATGGCAAAAATTAGACATTGACACACAAGGTTTTGGGATATGAACAAAAATGGTAGCCTATCGAATTTGGGCCAAACCTTGATTACTCGCACCTCTTCATCGATTTGAATACTTCCTTTTTCAAATAAAAATGTATAGGAGACGAGCTATCATCCATAAGTCAATTTTTTTAAATTTCAAGAAGACAATAAACAACCGGTAGACAAAGGATCTTTTCTAAATCGAGAACTTTTTAATTAAACAAACTGCTTATGCTTGGGTTTAAACAACGGTCAATTTTAAGATAATTGTTCATCTCGCCCTTCTTCATTATTCTAAGTAATTGATTCTGTCAAAGCTGAAGGCAAAGAGGACGTTTTGTAAACACTGGTTGATATTCGGAGATAGACCAGTGAAATTAGATTAAAATAGCATTTATTAGAACATCTTGTTAGCTCAGTTGGTAGAGCACTGCATCAGTATCACCTGACAGAGGTCATGGGTTCGAATCCCGTATAGGCCTGAATTTTTTTCAGGTCTTATTTTCACTACTGCTTAAGTAGCGTTCCTTACTGCGAAGATCGTTCTCGTACGCGTTTCTTTAACCGAAGTTCAGATATATGATATTCATATATTCATAGGCAGTGTTTTATCTATTCATTTATTTTTGAAGAGCACTTCTCTTTAGGTTTCATTAACTGAATGGAAGGAACTCGGCTATTTTTTGTCCTGGACTTTCTCCGAGATTGATACGGCACATGGAAATTACGACTTGTTTTGGCAATTGTTAAACACGGTAATTTTCTCGGTCAGTACCTCAGGCATACTCAATAATGATAAAAAATCGGTCTGAATGTTCTCAGCTAGACTAGAAAACTTGATCTTCAAATATTAAAGGACATCATTTAAACCAGTATCCCAATTTTGTCTCTCAGACATCCTATTTACTGCTAAGAATCAAATGTAAGATGCGAAGCGTTTTAAAACCATGCAATTTTTTAGTCAAATAGGCTCCTCCATAAGTTGCTATAATTATCACTCTCAAGTCAAGAGAGATTAGTCAAAAACTTTTCGATTTGAATTGATAAAGTAAGAATTTTGTTCATTCTAAGTTTAATGATCGTTCCGTTATCACATTTTAAGTTTATACCAAAAAGGGTGCGCAAGCGCTATTTTATAAACAGACTGTGCCTTACCATCTGCAGTTGAGGGGCACGGGTTCTCCTCTTCTCAGGTAATCGTCCTCAAAGCTACTGTTATCAAGTACCTCTCCATAATCAAGTCCCCTTTGATCCAATCTGTTCTTCATAATGTTGGTTTCATCAGCGCTCACTTCGTTATATTTACCTGATGAACGAAACCCTAAGTAGAATCATTTTGTTCTTGAACACCAAATATAAGATATAAATATAAGTCATGGTGGCACTAAAGGCTTGACGATGAAATTAAGAAGAAAGAAACAAACGAGGAGTTCCTTGACGATGTCTTTAAACAGAAGGTTGGAATTTACCCTTACCCAACAAACGAGGAAATGCACTGGCGTTATTTTGGTTATGTAGCAGTGTCATCAAACAAACCACAGCAATAATATTGAGGGTTTTCATGGTCGAAAGTCACTCTAAAAAATATAAGAGGCCTTAGGAATATGTTTAGTGATGTTGTATGGGGAAACTGGCACGATAATGTTGACACGTCCTAGTAAATCCTTCTTCAACCTTTGAATCTTTTATAGTACCACGCTGTTTGTTATCTGCTCTCGCCCGTGGGTTGCTAACTGTTTTGTTTCAGGAGATTAATTTACTCGAGTTTTCAAACGTTTCGTTTTCGGTCTCGTTTTATATTTCCACCGCTTTGTTTTATCTGGTTGTGAATTATTTCTACGTCTCTGATGCTTGATCAATTTAACAAAAGTCAGACAAAGCGGTGCTTGATTTTCGTTGATGAGGGCAATAGAAAGGAATCCGTAAATCTCGCCTTGACTCCATACAACACCAGCCGACTTTGTACATATCATAACCAATGTTGTTAACTTCTCTCCTTATTTAGTAAAATTGAATGAATACTGAGATCATTATGTTAGAAACTGCTAATTAGATTGATTTGTTTACTTTACTTTTTACTAAATCATCACAAAAAGTGGGATAATTTTCTCTCTTGGCTGTCTCGATGCCCTACATCAAAATATATATGTACACATATTTTTTTTTCTTTGTTTAAACCGTTTTTATTTTTACACTTCACATGATTGTGGTCCTCTACTTCCCTCGAACACTCTTTGCAAGAATATCATAACCTTAAAAAAGAAATCTTCTCGATTAAAAATTGTTTGTGTGAGTAGCAGGATAAAAGGGGTCTCATTTCCTAAGTGGACAACAGACGACTCCACGAGAATTAAGCGCAATCAAATCAATATTTGTTATCTTGCAACAGGTTATTTAAAGAATTAAAGCATTGGTCTTGAATGATATGCAGCTTAATCAGACGTTTGGAGACAAAGTATTTTTGTCTTTTCTTAATATCACTTCAGATTCCCATCGCTTCTATTATCGCCAGTAACATTATTTGCCTCAAGAGAGAATAATGTGATTAGAACTTATCGCCAGCCTGTTCATCTAGCAACGAGTTTTAAATCTTAGCTGAAGTTAAAAGTATAATAAATTTGCAATGACTCGAGGGTGTTTCATTGGCCAAGCAACCATCAATCAGGAGACTTCGTGGCCATTCTTCATGGACATTTGAAATATTCATTCAGAGGACACAATTAAGACAAGGAAAAATGTTCCATTAATAGACATTTCTGTTTAACGAAAGTCTGGACCAAAGTTTGTCTCCTGAGGGGTTCCACTTTACTTCTTTTCACAGAAAAGAGAAAGTGGGGTAACAGAATAATTAAAAATCAACTCAGCAATTTTTTTTGAGCTGACCCTTCCCTTTAGGAAATTTTTTTGGTTTGTTCCACTAGTTCAGAATAATCGGAGATGTTCCATGATCAGATCAGTCTTAGGAACACTTCTTTATTGTCGAAAAAACAAGTTTTT